CTTGCTGTTGTTTTAGTGCTACTGTTGCCAGTGTACATGCTGTTCCATTCATTCACATTGGGTGTGGTAATCTGAATTAGAAAAGAATCCTGGATTGGGAATCTGAATTAGGGATATACGAACAGAGCAGTCGTATGAATTTGCAGTGCAAACCCACACGCTTTTGAAAAAGGTACTTTACCCAGATTGTTTCAGCATATCAAGTTCTAGAAAAAGGTTCCAGAAATTGTGTACAAAGAAATTGGCTAACTGTATCCCCTGAAAGTAATAAAAGTGTCAAATAAAATAAAACAAGCATTGATACTGTTTTTCTAAAGCACAGCTCCTGTTTTTTTATCATCAGTATGAATTGGGCACACTTTTAATTTATAAATTTTTGATGAGTAAGGATTCTTAGTGGCAGATATGTAGAATATTTTATAGGTTACATCAAATAATAGTAATCTTTTTCCAAGCATCATACATTTATTACAGGGCAAAAATACAGAAAGACAATGGAATAATTCAGTGTAAGACAGAAATTCAAAGAATATCATATAAAGTACAGAATTTAGCAATGTTGATATGAGTTATAGACCTTAATAGAAATAAAAGCAAAAACGATAAAGGGCACCAAAATAACAGTAGGTTATGCTGCAAGTATGTACAGTGTGTTGAATAATTAAAACAAAGAAAGTATAAAACACAAGTGAACAAATAAAAGCAATATAAAATAAACAGCACAGATCATCTATTTTCTGTTCCCAGAAAACTGCAGACACCTGTGTTTTTGTGGGAAAAAAATATTACTCAGTTGAAAACACTTGATTAGAAATAATTATATTAGAATTAAAGCTTGTAGTTTTATTCCCATTTTTGGGAATAAAATAGAACTCATTATCTGTGCTGTTTATAATTATTGAGCCCACTGTGCATACGATTGAGGAAGCACCGCTCAATGAGAACGTTCATATTGTTGCAATGCAGCAAGTGCCGCCGTAGTCGAGAGTTCAGACTGTGGATGTGGGAAAGAGCCTTCCCTGCGTAACTCTGGGGCGCAGGATGATCGAGGTCCTGTGTGGGCCGAGGGGCGGGAGGGTCCGTGTGGCTGCAGTTTGTGAGCGGAGGGGGTGGAGAGCTACAGTAGGTATAGGCCCGAACACATTCCCGCAGGGGGCATCCTGTTTCTTTGTGCTAGCAGACTGTCTCAGGCCCCGGGCCTTATCATAGCAACCACTCGCAGATGACAAGTCAGGGCTTGTCTGCGAGAGAGCCTGGGCCCGCCAGGGCCAATGAGCACAGCTTCCTTGCATCTGCGTCAGCCCGCTCTGTGGCTGTGCATGAAGACCTGCTCTGAGCTGGCTGTGCACACTTGTTATGTGCTTTTGAGATCTCTCCCTGCTTGGTCCTTCTTATTGTTTTCTCTTTGTGGGTGCTTTGATCTCTGTGGAAGGAGAGTAAGTAAACCATTATCTTCCCTGGAATTTGCTCCCAGGGTGTGACTTTAAGTGGGATATGCACAGGATACTGTTGTGGAGATCTTAGGTTTTTAAAAAAATACTTTGTCTTAGGTTCTGTGTGACTAATCCAGAAATTGTTCTGATACACATTTGCTGTAGAAACCATTTAAATGCAAGATGTTTGCGTGTATTCCTGCTTTTAATTTGATGTACCTTTTTATTTCTGCAACATAGAGACGGCCTGCATGCAGTGCATAGGGTTAAAAATATCAAAACTATTTTTAAATCTTGTTTTCAGCAGCAGTTGTGGCAAAGCGTTCTAAAAGTTGATAGAAGCAGTTAAAAACCCCTTTTATTCCGTCATTCACTGTGAGAGAACACTGTGTTTTCTGCAAGAGGCGCTGGTGAAGAGAACGTTCTGCCGCTCAGAGGCTGTGTGCTGGGAAAGGCACAGGAAGTGAGAGGAGCGTGAGAGATGTGCCCGAGTGACTCGTGTGTGATCCCAGCCGGGGTGGGGCACCGAGGTGACGTCTTTGGCCAAGTGCCATGAGCTCCTGGGGCTGCCTGGACTCGGCTCCCGACTCAGCACATTAACACTGTTTTCAGTGTCAGTGTGTTGCAGTAAATAAGGAAGAGCTTTGCTAATGAAACAGCTGAGGAGGGAAGTTTACCCTTTGGTTGACAAGGGAATTTGAGAGTCACTGGTAATTATAACCTTTATTTTATAATGGGCCTTTCATTGTCTCTTGAGGCTCTGCCGAATAAAACAGACAATGAAAAGAGACAGGTGTACAGTATTTAACACAGTGAATTAACCTGGGTGTAAAAGAACATTAAGGTAGGATTTGAAAGTGATGATTGACTTGCAAGATTTTAATACAGGGGCTTTAATACAGGTGGCTTTGTGGCTAAGGATCTGCACCTGTGGCTGGAAGGTTGCTGGTTTGTATCCTGCAGCTGGCAGAGGAATCCTACTCCGTAGGGTCCCTGAGCAAGGCCCTTGACCCCAGCTGCTCCAGGGGTGCCGTATACAGTAAATGGCTGACCCTAGGCTCTGACCCCAAGCATCTCTCTCCCCATCTGTGTGTCTGTGTGTCTCATGAAGAGCAAGCTAGTTTATGCAAAAAGTGAAATTCCTAATACAATTGTATATGGCCAATAAAGTGATATTATCTTATCTTATTTTAGTGGTGCAGAACAGAAAGCACAGTCTTTATGTGTTTAAAACCTGGTATTTGGAACTGAAAGGGTCTCGAGAGTTGCAGGGGGTTAACAGTTCACTGATGTCATCCAGAACCAAACCATTCAAGCCCATAAAATTAGACGTGTGCTTTGCATTATTACATGTTGTTGTTGTCTGCTTCCCTTATTCAGCATTAACAACAATGTCAGGCATATATATATATATGTGTTTGTGCTGTAACCCACTGAACAAAACACAAATGTGTAGGGTGAGTTTCAAATCCTGTATTCAGGCTGGAAACGATGCTATAAGGCAATGTCAGAATAGTTTCACTTCAATATAATTTCAGGAGCATTCATTTGGATTTTATAATTCAAAAACCCTGTCTTAGGTCGGTGTTGTTGTGGAGGTCAGGGGGCTGCAGGTTCAAATCCTGAATTCTCAGGGGGCCAGCAGTGTTATTGCACCAGATGTGTGAGGTAGAAATGCTGAGGCTCTTTCTGCATCACTGCTCTAACACACAGTTTCTCTCTCACAACTACAAGCTTATAATCTGTTTTACAGGTTAACCATGGAGAGAAGCCAGTTGCTCTTTAAAAAAGCTGTCGAGAGGGAGATGCAGAGTTTTGGGGGGTTGATCCGTATTCATGGCTTATTATTATAAACTCTGCATGTGCTCTTTTATAACACCATAGTGTGCACTGTCTTGAAGCTGAAGAAGACAAGATCTAAACATTTTTTTCAAATGTGAAATGTTAGGATTGTTCTTGTATGTTCTGGTCTTGGTTACATTTTCCTGTTTGTGTGTGTTTCTACTAGTTCACCTGCTTTCAGGGGAACCTCTTGAATGTTTTGATCTCTATCAAAGAACTGCGCAGAACAACTGTAAATCCTGGCAGTGTCCCTATTCCATAACGAATACATGGGGTGGGCATTAAAACAGCTTAATGACCCGAGCTTGCAGTGAAGGAGATGGTTGGTTTTAGGTTAATATACAGTATGTGAGCCGCGAAAGACAAAGGCAGAGCAGTTTGTCATTTCAGCTCTTTTTCACAGGGAACTTCCCCATGATCAGTGATGACCTGGTGAACTCTTATCACCTGCTGCTGTGTGCGCTGGACCTGGTGTACTGCAACGCCCTTCTGTGCCCTGGACGCAAGGACCTGCTCAACCCTGGATTTAAAGGTACCGGCGTGGCGGGAGAGTGGACTTGTCGAGACACCGATTCTTTTGAACCTTTGAAGAAGATGTAGGCAGATTGTAGGTTTTCCAGTCTATCTTTGATCTTTCTGTGTGGCTGCTGTACAGTCAGGCAAACTCCCTAACACTATGGGATTCCTTATTAGAAAAAAAAAACATAATTTCTCTTTCTGGAACAAAGTCCCTTTGTACAAAGTTGTCACTTTCCTCCATCTGAGTCCTACATTTCTCTCCTCTTTTCCATGGCACGGAGTCCTGTCTTTTCTGTACAGAGGTTTAGGTTGCAGACCACAGGAGGCCATTAACCCATCTTGAGGGCAGATGGAGCGCTGGGCAGAGCCAGTGAATTTCTCAGCCTCTGTGATAAATATATCTGCGCAAAGCAGCTGAGGGACAAAGCTGTGGGCCTGGCTGTCGGCGGGGGAGAGGAATGACAGTAACCTGGCTTAATAAAGAAGACATGTGCTAATACTTAGTGGGTGGGGGGGAAACTGAAAAAGTTTCCATTGAGTCAGCAAAGTAAACCTGATCCTGATTTCCAAGTGGTTCCCTGCAGAGAAAGAAAGATAAACCGTACTCAAGTTTTACCATATGATAAACACACAGTATCTCAGAAGCTCTCCTTTTAGGCCTCCTCATCCTTCTTTTTTCCATAAAGGATTTGCGGATGAGATTGACTTGTCTGCTGTTATCCCCATTGTGATCTGAACTTTCAGTTAAGAACTTCCATTTATTGAAAACAACAGCAACAACAACAACAACAAAAAAACAGAGATTGCTAAGATGAAAAACTGCACTGTTTTTAAATTAGATCTGCGTCACTTTGCGATATAGCTTTGATCATCTGGAGAGCTTGCTGTGGAATGGAGGATTTCTTTTTCAGTTCAGAGCTGCAGTACTGTGAGAGCGCCTCATGTCTGTGGTTTCAGTGAATTAGACTGTATCTGGCGGCAGCTGCCCCCCCCGTGTGGACCAGGGCTTGCTGACTGACCTGTGCGATTGTGTGCGTCGGCCAGGTCTGCCCGAAGAGTTCGGCAGCAAGGACTACAAGCCCGGCCCAGGCCCGCTGGGCTTCATCGAGAAGCTGTGTGAGCTGCATGACGGCCTGGTGCTGGAGGCCAAGGGGGTGAAGGAGCACTTCTGGAAGCCTTTCATCAAGAAACTCTTTGACAAGAAGGTAGGAGGCTGTCTTCCAGTAGGCTACCATACTGGCCCCAGTGTAAGGGGTGGTGCTGTGGCTCTGTGGCTCAGGATCTGCGCCTGTGGCTGGGAGGTTGCCAGTTCGTATCCCGCGGCCGGCAGAGGAATCCTACTCCGTTGGGCCCTTGAGCAAGGCCTTTAACCCCAACTGCTCCAGCGGTGCTGCATAAATGGCCGACCCTACACTCTGACCCCCAGCTTCTCTCCCTGTCTGTGTGTCTCATGGAGAGCAAGCTGGGGTCTGTGAAAAGACAATTTCCTAATGCAAGAAATTGTATAGGGCCAATAAAGTGAAGTGAAGAATTTGCTACATTATCCAGTCACGGACATACTGGCACAAGGCCTAACTGATGGCGTGATGGTTAATTTATAATCTATACAAGCAGGACTGCTTGGCTTGGGCCTGCTTCAGGTGTACCATGTGTTTTATGAGGTGATAGAGTGTGGAGTTTGGCTTGCATGCTCACCACTAACCAGCTGCGAGACCTTCACTGCTCACAGTTTAATCCGCCCTGACCAGAGTTACTTACTTCGTATTCCTGTCACAGACCAGTGTTTTTTTTAAACCCTCTTTTTCTTTAACAGATTTTAAAGGGAAAGGAAGAAAACCTAACCGGTTTTTTGGATCCAGTGAATTTTGGAGACAGCTTGTAAGTTTCGGTCTCTCCCGATCTGCCCCTGTCCACTCTCAGGATCAAAACATTTACCTGGATTTGAACAGTGCCAGGGTTCAGCACATGCTTGTAAAACTAGCGTGTTAGATGTGATACAAACACTTGTGTGATTTTAGATGATATTATATAAAAATATTTTGTTTCCGAGTGGGTTGGTTTAAAATATAACTTTGTGAACTGAAAACAGAAATGAAAGAATGAGGCGTCAGGGTGGGTTTCAGCATGTAGAACTCTTTTAGCTCCTGACAACAATAAATTATTTTGTTTTCTCTGCTGCTATCACTTCCTGAATCCCGGGATCACGCTGTATGTTGTGCTGGCAGTGTTCTGAACACTAGTGGTCAGTCTCCTTTAGGTAAAACAAGTGGATGTGTGGTTAGAAAATATCAGTGAGCACTGCCAGGGAGCAGAGACCTCTCAGTGCCGCAGTGAGACCCCGTAGTCACCTGCAGCCTCTCTCTCCTCCTGCGTGCTACAGCGCAGCTCTGAACAGAGTGTATGAGGAGCACGTGTTGGCGACAGGGAGCCTGGACGAGAGGATATTCCTGGCAGAGGACGCCAGCGAGGAAATTGGCACACCTGGGCAGCACCACTGCGTGGGGGCAGCAGAAGCCATGGATCACAGCACTGAGGCTCACAGCCAGAGCAGAGTAAGAGACGCTTCCACACGGGATCTGGGTACCCTAGGAATGAAGCGGTCACTACAGACTTCTCCACGCGACCCACTTAGCACATAGACCTTCTGTGGAGCAGAGATAAATGTAGAATGCATGATCTGATTTTTAGCATTGCCTACTTTCTGCTTAATGTCTAGACATGCAGAATTAATGCATTCGGATGTTTGTGTGGACTGGAGTACACAATCTTTTACTCCGATTTCTGTAAATACATGTACATGTGTGTGATATCGGAGACAGCCCAGCAGTGCTGAAATCTCGGGGGACTCTAGCATCACACTGGAGCCGTGACCTGTAACCCTTGCCTTGCCAGGCCCACGCCATGCGTCTCTCCACGCCGCTCACCGGCCGCCGGTACGTCCGGGAGAGCAGCCAGCAGGGCACGCCTGTCTCCATGGCGACGCAGAGCGTGAGCCGACTCCACGGCCTGCTCAGCGGGCTGAAACACGGACCCAGCGCCAAGCTGGCGCAGGCGCTCAGGTCAGCACGGCCTCTGCGTCCGCGCACAATCCGCCCTTCGAGGGCGAGCTAAATTTGACCTGTGACCTCCCTGGTGTCTGTGCAGAGCAGGGATACCTGCAAGGAAGTGCTCAGTCCAGTCTGGTCCCCAGTGGCAGTGCAACAACAATAATAATTGCTTACACTTATATAGCGCTTTTCTGGACACTCCACTCAGAGCATTTTACAGGTACTGGGGACTCTTCTCCACCACCACCACCAGTGTGCAGCCCCAGTGCACCAGTACTCTCCCCACACACCAGCTCTCAGTGGGGAGGAGAGCAGAGTGACGTGGCCAGTTCATAGATGGAGATTATTAGGAGCCCATGATTGGTAAAGGCCAGGGGGAAACTTGGCCAGGATGCCGGGGTTACACCCCTACTCTTTTCGAGAAATGCCCTGGGATTTTTATTGACCACAGAGAGCCGGGACCTCGGTTTTACGTCTCATCCAACAAGCAGAACAAGCTACCCCAGCCTGCTGAAGTTGATACTTTGGGGGTTTTTTTTAAATCGATGGATGAGATCCTGGGATCAATTAACTCCTAATTACCACGCTGACTGGGTGAGCTGAATAGCCCCTCTTGTTGGCACCAGCTCTCGTGTTTGTATGCCTGCACTGGCCTGGGTTGGGGGGAGATGCATTTGAAACGGCGACGGAGGAGGAGGTTCAGATTTCTTGCGCTGTCTTTTTTGTCGTCTTCTCGCTGCGAGTGTGCTCAGCCCAGGATACAGTCGGACTGGGCGGCTGCGCTGCACTGCTGCTCACTGACGCCCGCCACCCCGTGTGTCTTGTCTGTAGGTCGTGCGCCAGAGACCCTACCCTGGTAATAACCAGCAGAGTCAAAGAGATGTTTGAAACATTCTGCCTTCGCTACAGCGGGAAAGGAGAAGGGAATGCCAGCCTGTTCAAGGGTCAGTATCCCAGATAGCTCACTACTTCAAGCCTGTTTCATGGTGATGTTTGCTAGTATGTGGGATTTGCACTGGGAAGCATCTTGCAGCATCACAGATTGTCAGTAAGAACCTGCAGGTTGTAGTGTTACAGCTTCCTTACCAGGTACGTGTGCTTTAATATTTGATATTTAAAAGTCAGGTTTTCATATTTGATGGGGCAAATTGTATAATAAACACAAAGCACCAGCTCTCTGAGAATTCCTGGTCTTCTCATTCCTCAGACCTCACTGTGAAGTATTTCCGCCTGGCTGAAGCGCTGTACTACAAAACGCTGGAGACGGTGATTGATCAGGAGAGGAAGAGGCTGGGGGACACCGACCTCTCTGTAAGCCCTCCTTTCCCTCTTGGCGGACGCTGCACGTGACAGTATGAGCATGTGTATTGACCCAGACACAGACATACGTGCCGGCTTCCTATATCTCCAATGAGCTCATTCGATAGTGGTCACTTGTTAGGATGAGCGAGTGTTTAATAACAAGAGGGCTTGCACTGAGTGACTTATGGATCAGGCTCATTACAAAATACCAGGTGCCAGTACTTCGGCCCCCATCTGTACAGAAAACAAATGCTTTCTGTTTTTTTTTTGTTCTTTGTTCGTTTTACGTTGCTGCCTCTGAAAGGGCATCCTGGAGCAGGACATATTCCACCGCTCGCTGCTCGCCTGCTGCCTGGAGGTGGTCATCTTCTCCTACCGGCCCCCGGGAGAGTTCCCCCGCGTCCTAGAGATCTTCCACCTCCCGCCGTACCAGTTCTATAAGGTAAGCCGCCCAGCGGGGCAGCGAGCACAGGTGCACAGCTCTGGGCAGAACCCAGCAGACCTCCTACTGTAGGTCTCCTTAAATCGGCAGCGGAGGACTGGTGTCCAGTCAAGGCAGTGAATAGATTATTAAGAGCAGAGGTGGAATGAAAGCCCTCCTGGACGACGCACTCAGTAGAAAAACACAACCACTGCCCAGAGATACAGTATGGTCGCATTCTAATGTTGCGTACTGTTAGTGTAGGGACATTCGCAGCGATTCAACAGTTCGTTTTTTAATTGCCAGGGCACATCCTGGTGAGATGTCACTAAACTGCAACGGGCAGCAAGGACGGATTTTGGTGTTCGTGGGCACTTTCACTCCGAAAGGTGCAAAAAGAGGGGTCGATGCCAATTGAATGACATGATGCACTTTAAACTATTCTAATGCTAAACCACGTGATCGATGGAACGAGTCGAGCGACCATCACTTCGATACGTCTAGTTTCTAGAAGAGCCGCTAGACAGCGGATGATTATTGATTTGGAGCACCTAGAGTCGATCGCAAGCATGTTGTTTCAGCTCATTTTTCCTTAGTCACTAGTGTTTCCCTTCTTCGTAGGCCCTAAAAATTCCCTGCAGCTACACAAGGTGTTATCACTAGCCATTCCAGTGCGTGTTACCGAAACCCGTCCTGTGTCGTTCAGTGAGTTACCAGGCTGTGCCGTTGAGTGGGATCCAGGGGTCCACCAGCACTGGGAATGACTGGGCTTGCCCCCCGCAGGTGATCGAGGTGCTGGTGAGGGCGGAGGAGGGGCTGTTCCGCGAGGCGGTGAAGCACCTGAACCAGGTGGAGGAGCAGGTCCTGGAGAAGCTGGCCTGGAAGGGGGAGTCGCCATTGTGGGAGAGCATCCGGGAAGCAAAGAACAGGGCTCCGGCCTGCCAGGAGGTCAGCTCTGGCCCTGCACGCTGCACATGAGACACACCAACACCGCGCACAGGAGTCCCTCACACAAGGGCTTGTGGGAGTATAGAACAAGCCACCAAGCCAGGTGGTTGTAACTCAGACCCTGGCTCACATGGCCGCAATGGGCCCGAAAGTGTGTTCACTGCACACACAGCGTGTAACAATCACCCTACGCCGTGAAACGTGACGGGACACATACTCAGGGCACAGCAAACAGCTCCGAGCACAGACCTCCCTGCACCCATGTGTTTCAGGTGATGCAGCCTCAGCACCTTGAGAGCACGGAGAGCCCCAGTGCCTCCAACACCCCTGTGACACCAAGCAGGCTCAGCGAGATCCGTGCGGGGAAAGGTGAGCACCCTCTCCTGCAGACGGGACCTCTGGGCCAAAGTGTTAATTAATCAAATGAGTCAATTAAGTGAAGCAGAAGAAGAATTAGAAGAACAACCGTTATGAAAAGAAGGGGTGTTTCACCTACAAATACCAGCCTGTTCTGGCTGTCGCCAGTTTTCTGCAGTTATTCTGTGAGTTCTGAGGATGTGTTCATTTTTCCATACGGAAGACCACCTTATAAATGAGCTACCAGGCTCGGTAGTAGGATGTCGTTGCCATGGCTGCCTACTGCCCCCTCTCTCTCTGTGTGTCCCCCAGGGGCGTCAGTGTCTCCCGCCACCCTCCACGACCGCTACCGCTCGCCCCCGGCGGGCACCGCGCGGAGGAGGCTGTTCCTGGACAGCGACTCCACCCCCGAGGCCGGCAGTCCAGCCAGAGCCCCCCAGGCCCCTCTCGTGAGCAGCGTGCCCGTGCAGAGCATCGCCGCCGAGGCCATCTCCATCACCCCCGTGCCTGGGCAGACCGTGGTCACCATGGCGACCGCCACGGTCACCGCCAACAACGGCCAGACAGTCACCATACCGGTGCAAGGTAACGGGCCTGCCGCCAGAACCGCATGTACCGGGATGGACTCTGATAACGACACTCATCATAATAACAATAATAATAATAATAATAATTGCTTACACTTATATAGTGCTTTTCTGGACACTCCACTCAAAGCGCTTTACAGGTAATGGGGATCCCCTCCACCCCCACCACTGTGCAGCCCCACCCTGGATGATGCAATGGCAGCAATAGTGCGCCAGAACCCTCCCCACACACCAGCTCTCAGTGGGGAGGAGAACAGAGTGATGAAGCCAGTTCAGAGATGGGGATTATTAGGAGGCCATGATTGGTAAAGGCCAGTGGGAAATTTGGCCCGGATGCCAGGGTAGCACCCCTACTCTTTTCGAGAAAAACTCTGGGATTTTGAATGACCACAGAGAGTCAGGACCTCGGTTTTATGTCTCATCCGAAGGACGGCACCTTTTTACAATATAGGGTCCCCGTCACTATACTGGGGCATTAGGACCCACACAGACCGCAGGGTGAGCGCCCCCTACTGGCCCCACTAACACCTCTTCCAGCAGCAACCTTAGTTCTTCCCAGGAGGTCTCCCATCCAAGGTACTGACCAGGCTCACAGCTGGTGGGCTTCAGTGGGCTGCCAGTTGTGAGTGGGATGCTGGCCATACCACCCTGAATAATTATGGTTCACCGGTTCCAGGTATCGCCAACGAGAATGGCGGCATCACCTTCATCCCTGTCCAGGTGAGCATGCCCAGCCAAGCGGCGGGCGTTGGGGGCTCCCTCCAGCCGCTGACGGCCCAGACTCTCTCTGGAACTCTAACCACGCAGCAGCTCAGCGGTGTGGCCTCGCAGGTCTCCACGCAGAACACGCCGCCCGTGGGGCAGCAGGCCAAGGCACCTGCAGCTCACAGCCCAGCTGAAAACAAGCCCAGGAAGACCGGCTCCCTGTCCCTGTTCTTCCGGAAGGTAAGCGCCTTACAGGTAATGGAGATCCCCTCCACCACCAGTGTGCAGCCCCACCTGGATGATGCGACGGCAGCCATAGTGCTCCAGTTCACTCATCACACACCAGCTCTCAGTGGGCAGGAGAGCAGAGTGACAAGGCCAGTTCAGAGATGGGGATTATTAGGAGGCCATGATTGGTAAAGGCCAGGGGGAAATTTGGCCCGGATGCCAGGGTAGCACCCCTACTCTTTTCGAGAAAAACTCTGGGATTTTGAATGACCACAGAGAGTCAGGACCTTGGTTTTACGTCTCATCCGTAGGATGGCGCCTTTTTACGGTATAGTGTCCCCGTCACTATACTGGGGAAATAGGACCCACATGGACCGCAGGGTGAGCGCCCCCTACTGGTGCCACTCACACCTCTTCCAGCAGCACCCTTAGTTGTTGCAGGAGGTCTCCCATCCAGATACTGGCCAGACTCACACCTGCTGGGCTTCAGTGGGTTGTCAGTTGTGGGTTACAGGGTGATATGACTTCTGTGCATTTCGACACTCTTGGCTGGTGTTTCTGGTCGCACCGCGGCTGTATCTTCTCGCGGCTTTGCGACGGAGCTCAGCTTGACCATCTGTTCTGACTCTCGCTGCCTGGCAGGTGTACCACCTGGCCAGTGTACGTCTGCGGGACCTGTGTGCCAAGCTGGACATCTCCGCCGAGCTGCGGAGGAGGATCTGGACATGCTTTGAGTATTCGCTGGTCCACTGCACTGACCTCATGGTGGACAGGCACCTGGACCAGCTCCTCATGTGCGCCATCTACGTCATGGCCAAGGTGAGCAACCAGCAGCTTTTCCTTCTCTCTGCCACACTTTCTGATCCAGCACTTGGTGGACCACTAAGTCGAAGAAAGTAGCTGCCTGGAAAACAAAGGCACCATCAAGTAGTGGTGAGATTGACATGCAGGCCACATATTTCATTTAGTCTGGGAATAGGATCCAACGTGCAATGGTTTTCTATTCTGGGCATCTGATGTTGAATACGCATTCATATTGTTTCTTTTTATTTACCTTATGGTTTTGTTTTTCCATGACATTAAAATCTCGCCCCGAAATGTCTTCTTGCTTTCTTGCAGGTGACCAAAGAAGACAAGTCATTTCAGAATATAATGAAGTGCTACAGGACACAGCCCCAGGCCAACAGCAGTGTGAGTAGGATCGTGTGGTCTCTCCACGTTTATATTAATAACACCCAGAGCTGGAGGGCAGAGAGACAGCAGGACAGGGGCTGTGCCCTGAGGGTATAGCTCTGTATTTTTCCACTGGCCTCGCGGCCAAGACACACTGCTGCACTGCTCTTTCTGCAGCTCGGTCGTGTCTCCCTTACTCCTGCTGGGCTTGGAGCAAGCCACTGAACTGCACTAGGTGCTGAAAGTCGCATGTAATCAAATATATTCGAGAAACGCATGTAAATTCCACGGAGTTACCGAGAAACCATGTCAGACTATTTTCCCATTCAGAAATTAACTGAAGTTCTTGAAATGTGTGATGTTGTCCCTTGTGTAATGGAGTTAAAAGCAAAAGTTCAGGAGGAGGTCAGACCTTAGTCTCGCCCACTTCCACCTGCCTTCTTAAAAATATCCCGCTCCCCGCCTGCGCATTTAGATTTTCGCTTGTTTCTTTCAGTGGAGGAGTCGAAAAGGTCTACAGAGCTCTCTGTGTCTCAACAGGCAGAGTAGCAGTAGTCCTTTTTCAAGGTGTCCTGTTTGCTACCCTGTTATGCGAAACATTATTTATTCCTCCATGACATTTGATCTCCAATACCCATGACTAATACTTGTATTTTTTCTGGAAACACCTTAACTCATGCAAGCTAAACTCAACTACCCAACACTGTTGTTAACTAGATACCGAGTTTCATTTGAAATAAAACGTCCGTAGAGTTATGCAGTATTATGTGGTAACCTCCTTTTCTGCAGTTAACACTTTTGTTCCATTTGAAATCTAGTTATTTCAAGTAGGCAACACTTTTTTCCTCTCAAGGTCTTTTTTCTGCGACACACAACACAGAGATACTACCTATTTTGAGTCATTTGTGAGTCCCAGCCAACGAACGGTTCACTTGAACTGTCCTCACAGGCACAATCATATGAAGGGAGGCCCTTTGTACACTGTGGGCATGCTTTCACTCATGTGTCCTTATGTGCCATAAACAGATTCCCTCTTCTCTGTCCACCACTCTAAACAAGAATATTCCTTTCTCGTTCCCAAGTGCTCTTGCTGAACAACACCTCGGGTCCTGTCCCCCTGCAGGGACAGGACTGTGGCTGGTCTGGCTGTGGTTCCCCGCTGTCTCCAGCAGGGGGCCTCAGTCTCATGGCGCGGTCTTCCTCCTGCAGGTGTACCGCAGCGTGCTGATCTCCAGGCGGAGGCGGCGGAGCTCCAGCAGCAGTGACAGCAGCGCGAGACACAGCTCCCCCAGCGAGGCTGTCCGAGAGCATGGTAAGACCAACCGGCTCTCCTCGCAGGGCTAGGGGGACCCTGAGAATCGGGGTGCAGCACCGCAGTACAGCATACTTGGCTAGGGGGACCCGCAGAATCGGGGTGCAGGGCCGCAGTACAGCATACTTGGCTAGGGGGACCCGCAGAATCGGGGTACAGGGCCGCAGTACAGCATACTTGGCTAGGGGGACCCAGAGAATCGGGGTGCAGGGCTGCAGTACAGCATACTTCATGAGGAACTAGATTGATTTCCAGTTTTCAGATTATATGGAGGCGGTTAAATGTGTTCAGCTGAGTAATTTAGTGAGGCTGGGAAAGAGCAGTTTTCAAGTTCCAGAGAGGCAACGGTAATAGAGCTACTAGGGGCCATTGAGGTTGCCTGCCTTCCATGTTCCAACCAGTGTGTTAATAATCCCAGTACCTGCCGAGAGCAGAAGCCCTGCCCTGCAGCCGGCCTCGCGGCGTGGTGCTGATTCCCGCCTGTCTCCTGCCGCCCTCCAGCCAGCAGGGACTCCAGCCCCGTGCCCATGCGCTCCAGCAGCACCCTGCCCGTGCCGCAGGCCAGCAGCGCCCCCCCCACGCCCACCCGCTTGAGCAGCGCCCCCCCCGGGCAGGAGGAGGAGCAGGAGGAGGAGCGGGGTGACCTCATCCTCTTCTACAACAACGTCTACGTCAAGCACATCCGCGACTTCGCTCTGCGCTACTCGCCCGTCTCTCTGGCCGCACCAGGGGTAAGAGGGGCACTGGGCTGGGGGCAGGGCAGGCATTCTAGGCCCATGGGTTGGCACGATTCACTCAAGCAGACCAGTTTATCCCAGGCCTGAAGCAGGTAATCATTAAGTTCATTTTATTGGCCATATACAATTTCTTGCATTAGGAATTTGTCTTTTCGCAAACCCCAGCTTGCTCTCCATGAGACACACAGCCAGGGAGAAGCTGGGGGACAGAGGGCAGGGTCAGCCATTGTACAGCGCCCCAGGAACAGTTGAGGTTAAGGGCCTTGCTCAGGGGCCCAACAAAGTAGGAGTCCTTTGCTGGCCGTGGGATTTGAACCGGCAACCTTCCTGATCCTTAGCCACAGTGCCACCACTCCGGTGTACTTAATACTTAAACTACAACAGCCCCAAGCCTCCTGGGCTGAGAGTCTGTGCCTAAGCAGTGTCAATCAAGTGCTAATGCTGGTATACTTTCCCTGAGAATATAAAAGGGAATGAATAACGTTTCTTCTTCAAAGTAATGTAGGAAAAAGATAAGCTCCTACTTTGTGATCAGGTGCTGCCATCTTGTGTACGCTGCATGATTAACCTCTCCTGCCCAGCGCTTGGTGAAGTCCTGTGCAACATGGGGCAGCGCGAGCCTTTTATTGTGGTTCACGCCGGAGAAAAAAATGATGTTTTGGTTAAGCGCAAAGGCTTCTGGGATGCTTTTGTCATGGAGGGCGTTGTATAAGATGAAATTGCACTGCACAGGGAGGGGCCCAGGGGCAGCAGGTGCTGGGGTACGGGCATGCGAGGGGTGAACGGCGTGCCCGGAGTCCAGCTGATCCGCCGCTGTGCTGTCTCCCCGTTACAGACCGAGGCTCCGCCGCTGTCGCCGTACCCCGCCGTGAGAACGGTGTCCCCCCGCAGGGTCCTGCTCTCCCAGAACCACTCCATCTACCTCTCCCCCCACAAGAACACCAGTCCTCTGTCGACCCGGGACAAGATCTTCTACTACATCAGCAGCAGCCCCTCCAAGGTCTGTGACTCGGCCTGCAAACTCTGTTGTTCACGTCTGCAGGGGCTGTGACCACAAATTTGGAACAACACCTTGTTTATAATAACTAACCAACTTCAAGTTCTTCCAAGCAATGCTGAATTATTGCAGCTCTAGGGCTGAACATGCATTATGATTGTTTTCAAACCCCATGTAGAAATGCCATCCACTGTCCTTTATTTGTAATTTATCGAATATTTCATGAAATGGCAAAAGCAAGCAACCAAATTGCACGACCTTGCTTCTTTTAAAACCGCTGGAGTTGCTAAAATCGAGATCAGCTGCCACAAAGCAGCCAGGTTCATGACGTGACCGGCGTGGCCAGCCGAAACTCGAGTTGCCGTGTCGGAGGTCGCCGTCCTTTCAGCCTGTAAACTTCCTCCCCCCTCTCTTGTGAGCAGAAGCTGCGCGAGATCAACAGCATGATCAAGACCGGCGAGACGCCCACCAAGAAGCGCGGCCTGCTGCTGGAGGAGGGCGGCCAGTCGCCAGCCAAGCGGCTGTGCCAGGACAACCAGACGGCCCTGCTGCGCCGACTGCAGGACGTGGCCAACGACCGGGGATCGCACTGAGGGCCCGGCTCCCCGGAATCGGGGTACCCCCGGCCCTGACCGGTGCCGACCTCCCTCAGGCTGGAGGTCTGGGAGCTCCCCAGCACTGTGCAAGCCTGTTGCCCTGCACTCCTCTGCAGCGTGGGAGTCCTTGCGGTCTGAAAGTGAGGTCAGGAAAAGGTCACGGTGCTCATACCAGCAAGGCGCAGGGTCTGGGTGCAGGGGGAAGAGACCAGAAAACCCTGCAGCCCTGAGAGACCAGACTCTAAAGGGATGCTGCGCTGGTGTGCGTCAGGTGCTGTGGTGTAACTAGAACGCTTTTTAGCAGCAGGATTGTTACATCTGTGCTTCACAACATGCAGTAGACTTTGAACTCTTCCTGCGTTTTAATGAACTGAAATGCCTTTATCATGACTGTCGTGTGGGATGAGACAACCTCTCCCCTCTTTCATTCTCGCAGGCTCACCCATTAACTGTGTGTCAACCTTTCTACCTGGTTTTAAAAAAAAAAA